CCGCAGAGCGGGGTCGGCGGATTAGATGTGTGTCTTGCTGCGCAACAAAGCTGGCCGGAACCCCATGCAACTCCAAGATGCAGACGCTTGTATGCAATTGATGATCCTGCGCAACCCGAAGCGACTGATAATTCTGCAGCAGCCCTGATGCCAAGTGCATGTCAAGATTGAAAAGCTCCGCGTCTCATGTAAGTCGGGATTTGTTCAAATTCGTGATGCCGTGTAACCTCCAACAACCATATCTCATGGGTAAGTGATGGTGCGTTTCACGGGATGGTCCTGCTGGGACAGTTCGGCGCTTGCATACACGTGCAGTCTGGAAGAGGACGAGCTTAGCAGCCTGCTTCGCCAGATGAAGAAGGACCGGAGCAACAGGGGATGGAAAGTATCTTACTCGTTGCTCATGTGTTAGTCGTTGCGTCTTTCAAATCGTCTTGTCGACTTGTTAGGTTCCATATCTATGAGAAGAAGAATTTTCAGTGTGTTCCCACCAATTCTGTCGTGGCCGGGCTCGGTGGCCCTGAGTAGCCATCATATTCTACAGCTGCTGTTTGCCAGCAGCTGTTCCTTTCAGGAATGGGGAAGACGGACCTGACAGTATGAGATGTACGTAGCTTCACACCACGGACACATCAGTGCCTTCACAATGGCTTTTTGAAGAGTTCTGAAGTTGACAGACCCCGGTACCCAGAGCTTCAGAAACCATCAAATGATTCAAAATGCCTTGCCAGGTCTGCTTCGAGGGGAAGCGCGTCTTCGCGTCAGGAGAGCCTGCTATTAGGGATGCCAGTAAGCAGCTGTAGTCGACAGCCTTGGCCCAGCTTGAGCTGGCGAGGGTGGGGAGTGTGTCGTGTATCCGTAACACCAGTAGGTAGCACTTGCATATCCAGTCAATGGATGTCAAACAAGTTTGCCATAGCTTAGGCCATGCCCATTCAGAAGCCGTCAGGGTCATGCCAAGAACGAAAGAGTATTTACGAATACATACGAGGAAACGTAGTTGAGTGATGTTCTCAAAATTGTCATGGCTCAAGTTAAACGCCTGGCGAGGAGGCTCTCTCCACGAGATGCTGTCCGACCTCCTGGAACTCCTGGAGTCAAAGGGCATACAAGAGGTGTCAATGTACAACCGTCTGCCAGAATTGAGATCATGTGCGGTACCCTGGTCGTGGAGGCGCTTCCGCATGTGCTGGGCGCGAGCTCGCAGCTGAAGGAGGTCAGGATCTGTAGGTCACAGTTTGCAGTCAGTACATTGGATGAGATATGAAGAAGGCAGGAGGCCTAGATGTGTGCGTTTGCATTGCCGCCAGGCGCTGAACTACTTCTCTGGTCCCCGAGTTGCAGCTTGGTTTTAAATTGCTTCGAAGGGGTGTAGAGATCTTATGCATTGCGGTGCAATGCTTCCCAGGCCAATGAGGAGCTTTAGGCCTGGAGGCCCGTTGCTAACGCAAATCGCTTTGCCAAAGTGCAGCGGGCCATCCGAATTCGGACAAGCTGATGGTGAAAAGTGAAATTTCGAGAGATGGTGCTGTGGCCTATGGCATTGTCGTCCTTTGTAGCTTGCGGCAGAGAAAGGAGGGATGTTTTCGTGGATTTGGCTCCAGTCGCCCCTCCTGAAGGGAACAGGGCGGATCAGGGGCCGAGCCTGGATGTTCTCATCGAAAATGGGAGGCATCCTGATGAGGCTGCGGTTTGCTTTGCTGTCAAGGGCTCCAAAAAACTTGAGGCTCCACTGAATTCTGCGAGACCTGGGTGGCATGATGCACGCGCTGTCACGCTAGAGCCTTGGCGTGTTGATGTACGCATCACCATAGCCCTTGGACCAAGAAAGTGGCAGTTGCCATATGCTGGAGGCACCGGCCTGTGGCCAGCAGAACCGAAGGACCCTCGTCTGAAACTGCTGCCGCACTGGTGCCTCTGATGCCTCCAGCACCGGCTGAGACTCTGAGTAGCTGAGTACATGGCTTGAGGATGGCCAGCGCCTCGCAAGGACTTGAACTTTCTTGAACTTTCGCCTTTTAAGTTCACGTTTTGATTTTCAGCTGGACGCAGGCCTACGCCAAAGCCTTCCCTTCCTGTGCCATCTCCCAAGCTGCGCAACAGTTCCGTGGGGAGCCAAGTGCATCCAAGGGGGCTGCCCGAGCGATTCTGATTGGGGTATCTGATGCGAGGCAAAGCCATTGCGATTTGACAAGGCTGCAAGGGGTTTGTGCTCTCAACTGCTGCTGCATTGGTAGCACAAGTAAGGCTGTAACTGCATATACTAGTGCTTTCATAAGTCTGTGCTTATGATCCGTGCCAGAATCTGCCAAGACATGTTGTTAAGGCAATAATACGGGCAGGATTGCAAGCAGGAATCATGTTTTTAGATGAGCGGTGGGCCCGAAGAGTTGCAACGATGCTGGCCGCAATGAACATTTCACGCAATTGGCATTACCAGGTACTGAAGTATCATCGCTGCAGGCGCGATTTTACCTGCAGCTTGCTGCCGGACTGACATCGGACCTGGAGATGGAGATGGGGCTGAAGACCACCAACCAGGCCAGCCAATGTAGGTTAATCAGAACTATGGATCCCACAGCGTTGACTGTAGGTATCTTGCCAGTCTGTAGTACTTGGCATAGCCACGTGCCAGTGTTTCTGCTTTGATTACTACAACTTCCTTTGCTGCTAAGGTGCAGCTGGGTTGTTCGCTCTTCCGGGCAGCGGCGGCGGGCGATGCTGCACAGGCCTCGCTCTTGGGCGATGACTTGTGCTTCTGCAAGCTGTGGGATCTGGCAGCTGTGGCTAATGCGGCTAATGATGAGAGTGGCAGTCGTCAGGGTTATGGTATATAATACCAGTGGCCATCAGATTAGTGGTCGACTTGTATCGACAGCGCCGCTCAGGCGGCCATGGCTCAGGGTAGCCTGTTTCATGGACTCCCAAAACAGCCGTTGAATATCTCCGTTACTGTTATGATACGCCCAATTGGTAGAAAAGCCCTCAAAACGGTCACAGAGCCAGAATGCTGCTTCATGTCTATTCTCTGCAAACAAAGCCAAGGTAGGGTACTTATAGCAGGAGAAAGGTGGGCTAGCAGGAGACACGTCGGGGCAGCATGCAGCAAGTTGCAAGCTTTCTATGCAATCATCGGTAAGCTGCAGAGGTTCGGCGGCTGCTCGATGAGGCACCTGCTGCGCTGTCAGCTGTAGGCATACTGCAAGTTGGCAATGCGCGTTCTGGATGAGGGCGCAGATCCATTGCAACGTCACGCAGCCGGCCAATTACCCCTGCACGTTGCCAGAAACCCTGCTGTTGACGCTCGGCCAGCATTTCTTTGATTCACGCTTGTCTGGTCCATTGCTGAAGACGAAGCCTGGTTCCAGAAGCACTCTTGTCATCAGGAGGTTTGCTCGCTGTCATGTGCACACGCCTCCATATCTGCTTTTAAGAATTTTTGCCAGTGGCCAGTCCACACCATCACGCCTGTATGCCGAACATTGGCGAATGGCTGGTATCCTTGAAGGGCAAACAGTCACTTTGTTTGAGCTGACCGCTTCGCTGAGGTCTCTGAGCTCATGGCAGCCTGCCCGGCAGCATCTGCTGTGAGGCGGAGTGCAGTTCTGTTTTGAATTTACATTTCTCATGCTCACAATGCTGGGCTCAAAGTTACACAGCGCCTGGAGATTGAAACCTGAGGACTTTCACAGGTCAGACGCCCGGTGAGCGCTACATTGCCCTCTTAGATTCGGAGCACAGACATCAGGTGCAGGACGCTCGTGCGAGAACTCCTGTGAAGTCAATCCTTCTCGTGACGCATGGAGACAAAGGTGAGAGAGTAGGAGGAGTAGGTAAGGAGGAGTAACGCAGAAAAGGGTGTGAGTCTTGCGAGGACCTGCTGCTCGCCTTGGCGTCTCCAGCAGTGCCTCGGCACCGAATTCTGAGCGAAGCGGCCGAGTGGCGGAGCGTTTGAGGGATCTGAGCCGGCTGCGCAACGTCTGTTGGAGGCCCTGGGAAGCTACCTGCTGCTCCGAGCGGGCAGAAGCCTCAGAAGCCTCCATTTTGACCACCCAACCACCCAACCACCCATTGCCATTGATCGGCCACGAGCAGGCAGAAGCTTGCTGGGCTTGATGGAGCCCTGGTTGGCGCGGGCCGTGTCCAAGCTGCAGCATGTCGCAGTACGTCAGCCCTTGGCAGCGTGCGGCGTTTGCAGCGTCAGGTGCTAGAGCGCGCTTGCGGCCCAGTGCCCCAAACAGCTCTAGCTCCTTTCTGCATGATGCCCGGTGTCTTGCAGGTATCTTTCCTCCCAACAGGTGAGGAGGCATCCCAAGTGCTGAGTAAGGCCACGAGGGAGGGGGCTGCACAGCATTGGGTTCTTGGCTTTCAACCCTCCAGGAGCCGCTGTCCTTGTGGGAGCTACAGAAGCTCAGGGCTCAGGGGGTCAGGCATGCCTTGCCCAGAGCAGCAGAGGACACTTGAAGTGCAACCTAGTACCTCCCAATTGACCGAGCATCTGAGCATCAGCATTCAACAGAATCGGTCTGCCAGGCGAGTCGTGCCCAGTTGTTCCCATCCCATTGGCCAAGATCTGGCCCTACCATTGAAAGAATGAAGACATTCCAGAACAACAAGCAAACCAGATAGGAGCCACGAACCCGAATGCAGACACGTGACACGTACATGCAATGATAATGACACCCCACGGGCGAAACCACTTAGGAGACGTAGGTCCGGGGTCATCCCTTTCTCCTCTTTCTCCTC